GGCAAGTTTTTAACCTTCTAAGCCTCATTTTCCTTGTTTATGAAATGGGACTATGATGTAGAGTTTGCAGGGTTGGTGTGAGAACCATCTCAGAGGAGGTTTACACTTTATAATGTGGGTCAACGGAAAAGACTGGCTGGCACTTAGCAAAATTCAAGACCAGGCTAAGTGGCAAAGCTGACTTCTCTACCTACTAAATGAAAACTTGGGTCCCAACCAGTCTCACCTGACCCGACTCCAGACTCACAAAATGGAAGTCTTTTGTGACACAGAAATTGAATCAGCTTGCTATAGAGTCTCAGATGTGACAAATTAACACAATTCATCATTTCTAGCTCTTTACTTAAAATTGGGTTTGACAAGAGGAGTTCATTCCATGAAAGAAAATACCAGGTAGTAAACAGATTAGTGAACTAAGTCAAGAGAGCAGATTATGAATAACAATACCCAGGTAGCAAAGATCCACCAGCTTTTCCTGCCTACTGGCCATGCCTGACAACTTGAGGCAACACAGGGATATTCCCTAGTTTCAGAATGCTGAAGCACTCACGACAATTAGAATAACAATTAGATACTGGATTCTCAAATGGGCCATGTTTTTAGTACTTACATATAGGGTAAAGAGGTAACATTTACAATGTGTGTCCCTGAGTGGATGAACTACTGGTAATTTAATTCTCTTCTTTGCTGCTTTCTCTCTCATCCTCTCTGCACTATTCATTGTGGTTTAGCATCCCACCCCCACAGCTAATTTTCTACCTTGAGCTTTGTCCTCAATTTCTTCTTGTACAGTGCAATCTCAGTAGCAGAAAAAAAAGATAAGTGGAAAATTCCCATGGATCTAGATGAGAGAAGTAACTTCAGACCTTCTGGGCAGTGGGGGTGGTGGAGTATGCAGGAGGAACACTGACCTTGAAGTCACATGGCCATGGTTCAAGACCCAGTTCTGCCTTACTCACAGGAGACACTGACTGGTCTCTTAATCTCTGTGAGCTGCAGTAACCTAATTTGCAAGTGGAGATAACAGTCATTGCCCTATAGCCTCCCAGGGATTGTCATGAGGGTCAAATGAGACAGATTGTGACCAGTGCTGTGAAGTCCTAAATATGTGCACGGAATTTGTGTTATCTATGTTATAACATGTCTCTTAGCTTGTCACAGGGAAGACCCTCATTCCTCCAGGGAACTAACTATTCCCATTTACTCTCCACTCCAAGTCATCTGCATAGTTTCTGGCACAGTCCTCACTCCCCTATGCCTACAAGAGGTCTATGATCACTGCCTTCATACACCAGTTCATTTGCTCTATCAATCTGTTCTTCTGAGCATTTTATGAACATATACTGAGTGCCTCAGACAGTGTGCTATGCATTAGGGATAAATATAAGTAAGTTTTGCTTCCTGATGTTCTCTAGGAATAGTCCCTCATGGAAAACTCACTCTAATGCTAGTAAATTCAAATTGGGTCTCAAACATTCCCCTTCTGGTCTTGTGTAACACCTGTTCCTTAGTTCTGTAATACTGGTGTGATGTGTGTGTCTTCTTTATCCCTAAGCAAGCCTAATACTTTCCTTTCCTAGCAGCACAAGATCCTAACTCCACAATTACGAGCGAGGCCATCAGCATTTCTCCACTGAAAAAGTAGGTGGTAGAACCTCTTAATTTTTCTTCTTTCAAGGCATTAACATTAATTCTCTCAACTGTTCTTAGATGCTCGTTTTTGGAGGAAACTTCTTGGTTCCTACAGGTAGACCCACAGTGCACTCTCAGCACAATTATTAGGTGATAGGAGTAACTTATTCCTTATGTCTCCAGCTTCTCTCCACTTTGCCCCATCCCGTACAGGGCTGCCCGATGGATTTTCCCACCTGACTAATCTGTCTCTGCAGCAATATTTTCCCCTGGCTTGGGATTCCCTGGATACCCAGGTGTATAGCCTCACTCATACTATCACACACGCTCACATGGTGCCTTGAAATTATCCCCTCAGTGGCCAAGATGTAGTTTGTGTATCAGTGGTAATATTTTAATGAATGCAGCTTCTCTCACAAGGAAGGACTTAGGAATTAATTCCATCAGCTATGTGGCAAAGGCCACCATGTAAAATAGTAAGGACAGGCTCTGAGGTGAGAGCATCTTTCAGTTCCTCACGTTGCAGAAGGAACGACAAAGCCAGGACCCATGGGATTGGTCCCCTTCTCTAATGACACTTGGTTGCCAACGCTGATGAGATTCTAACATTCTCAAATGGACTGATGGTAAATAAACACTTTTTTTTATCCTAAATAGACAAGTTGCAGCTCGGAAATTTTTCAGTTTTTCTCATTGCAAAATCAATACCCATCAGCAGCTTGAAATTAAAGGCAAGATTAGGCCTCAGTTTTATACATGCCATATTGTATTCCAGAAGCTTTCTACTCAGTCAGATAAATCTTCTTTAAGAGGATTAGGAAACTTTCATTATCTTTATCTAACCTGAACTAACACTACATCTGAAAAATTAATCTATACACTGGACAAAAGCCTATAGCTGCTGGGAAGAAGGAGGACTCTTGGACGTCTTTCTAATTGAGCAGTGGAGTCTCTGCTTCCACCCTCTGGAAAATCCAACTGGTCTCAAAAGAAGGAGCCAGCCACCCCATTGTCAATCAAGACAGAGGAAAAGGCAGCACTCTGAGATCCTTCTTTTCAGCTCTAAGTGAATGTAAAGATCCATCTACTAAACGTTCCAAGACTAGGTCCTCTCCTCTGTCTCCACCTTCCCAGTCTTTTAATTAACAGGCCACCTCCGACTCCCAGAGCTATAAGGGGAGCTTGGCCTGCACATGGAGTTGGGGAGGGACCTGAACCCTGGAATCAAAGACTGCCGCTCCACCTCTTGCCTGTTTGTAGACCCTTCCTCACCCAGTGTTTGAGGCCCACAGGGAGACACCGCCATGTCCAGCCCAAGGCATGGCTGCCCATGCCTTGTAAGGACACCATCCCCGAAGCTCTGCACTGCTAGCGTTCATGGCCTGCATTGGCTGTGACATGCCTACACAGCCTGTTTCCTGAAAATAGACAAGTTGTCTATTTGAGTCTGTATGCTGCCTGACAGTTCTTTTTTATTCCAGTACCACATTTCCCAAATTTGAAGAGAACTTTGCTATCAAGGCCATGAGAACACCACAGAGGCATCAACTGCCAATGCTGAGAACTTGAGCTCTTCTGCCACCAAGGCCAAGTGCCAGGCAGGGGAGAGAAAACTCACTCCCCATTGCCATCTGCACCCCAGACATGTTGAACAGGCATTGCAGCTCATCTCTGATGACTGATCTCACCGAGCATCTCCCCACCCTCTGAGGAGGAGCATTGGTAGTGACAGTTGTCTCTACCTCCAGATGGCAGACTGTCTTACAGAGCCAAAGCAGTGATCGTGACCAAATCATACCCCTGGGTGGGACATGTGTGGAGAATGGAAACAGCAGAGTGTACAGATGTCTGTCATATGGCAGGCTGCTGTGGTGTCTGAGAGCACGAGGTAGTGAGAGAAGGGCTTGGGAGCAGAACGAGGCATGGCTTGGAGCAATAGGGTGGCACCAGGGCCTGTGCTGCATGGACAGACAGCACTCTGGTCCAGCACATGCCATTAGAAATGGCTCAGAGTCAGAGACCTGGGTGCTGTGCTGACAAAGAGCTGCCTCCTGAATTGTACGAGCAACTGAAGCAGGAAGAGACATAAACCCTTACTCTAGCTCCCCATGACACCAAATGAAATGAGCAACATCATACTTTTTAGAAAGGCAGAAGCAAGAGAGTCCATATTAGCTAAGTGAGGATGCCATACACATTTCATAAGCTCATAAATCTGTTGAATCTGTTGCAGATGGAATCTGATAAAAGGCAGTTACTAAAGATTAAATCAGACACAGTGACTCCTTCCAAGAGCTCAGTTCGTGGTCCCAAGACACCAGTATAGAAGCCCGCCCACATCTCCCACCTGGCAGAGGAAGGACAGAAGGATGTGCCGTCGGAGGGTGGGAGCTGGCTTAACCCTTCACTGTTACTTACCATGAGTCGACACCTGACAGAAACTGCTTTACACAGTGATGGGAGGGGCTGTGCAGTTAGTTGGGAGCAGTTCAAGATATGTTTGTATTGCTGCCTTGTTCTAAAATAGTTCTCAAACTCTTCTAACTGCTATCTGAATATGTTTCTAGTATTTAGTAGTTGATCTCTGGGATTCTAACATTTCTTCAGTCAGTCCCATTTTTTCCTACAAAGTGAAATTTGAATAAAAAATATTAAATACTATGCCTGGGTTATATCAATTCAGATTTTTTTAAAAAGGGAGAATAGGAGAGAATGTCAGGGATTCAATTCCCCCTTTTTAATTACATAGATTCATTTCCACATACACTTGGAAATATGATTTTTACTAATATCTCCCTTGATCGCAGCTCCACTGTGGGGCTGGGAGAGGCATTGGGGTGGCAGCAATGCCAGGGAGGTCCTGAAGAAACAGGCTCAGAACCCCTTCTGGGACAAGCACTCCTGTCACATATGCAAAAGCAGTCCCAAGTCCCATGATTCTACCTCAATAGTATTAACCATTTCCTATAAGAGATACTTACAGACAGATCTCTACATGAACAGTATCATATCTTATTATAGTTATGTTTATATGTATGGAAAGTGGCTATTGTGTCTATTTTTTAAATATATCTGGCCCCAATCCCAGAGTAGTAAGTAACTGAAGAGAGCTCAACCAGCATGTGTCAAACAAGTTACTGATAAGAATTGGAGTATCAGAAATAAAACTGAGAAACTCCTTGAAAATATTCAGTACTCAGTCAAGAACCCAGCAGGTGAGAAGAATCTGGGACTTAAACTCAATCTCCGGATTCTGTAGAGGAAAAGGACTTTTTGTGTCTTTATACAAGATAGATGCAAAGACTGAAATTGTGCTTGCCCTCTGTGATTGACAGGAACCCTGACCTGCAAATCCAGCTGTAACTCACCTTGCACAATGAGGTGAACCCGTGAAGTTTTGGGGTGGTTGTCCGTCTGCACAGAGCAGGTGTACGGGCCCTCGTCATAAACGTCCACGTTTTGGATCATGATGCTGTACTGGGTCGGTGTGTTGACCAGGATGATCACACGAGGGTCTATGGACCACTTGTCACTCCCAGCATAGAGGATGGTGCTGCGGTTTAGCCAGGCCACCCGGGTGACCCGGTCATCTATGGTACACCTGTGGGATGCAGTGGGGGGAGAAAGGGGGAAGGGAAGAGGAAAGGGGAATATTGAGGAAAGGAGAAAGGAAGAAAGGAGAGGGGAGGATGGGAGAAAGAGAGTATTGAAAGATTATATTGTATTTAAAATATAAAATAATGATTGTATTTAAAAAATAAATAAAACAATAGAACCTAGTGCTGAAAGAAAACAATTAATTATTGATGAAACTTCCTAAATATAAGTTAAGAGTGGTCTGAGTCATTCTGAAGAAACGATGATACAAAATCATTTGCATTTGATTCATAGCCTGTGAATATCTTTGCTCTATATTTGCTTTCCATCTTATTTCTCCCCTAGGCTTATACAAAAGTTATATTTCTCAAGCACATTTAGCACCTTGTGGGGGAAGTGGCCCAGGGGCATTGGGAGAAAAAGTGGATCAGTATTTTGAATAGGTCACAGATAATCCACAAAGCAAATAGCTAACTTGTTGTTAGTCAAAAATTGAGCATGTTTACCTCTGGACATCTGGGTGCTGATAACCTCCTGAACTCCTATGTTGCCCAATGATTGCAAGCTATAATTTATAACATGGACGGGCAAAATTCACCTTAGAATGCCAACGGTTTTGGAGGAAGCTATGGCCACCTCTTAAGATTTCAGGAGAGGAAAGAAGAAATGGCCAGGCAGTTTCTCTGCCTTCTCATGCTCCTCCCTCCATGTTCTGAGAGAAAACAACGTGGCCGATGTCACCTACGTTATCATCATCCCTCTAACCTACTAATGACAACACGTGGAGGCAAGTGGAATTTGCTTTTTGGTGTGCATGACCTGCTGGCTACCAGGTTTAATAAACATGCCTGTTGGTCAGGAACAAAAGTTGCCTATGATCCCCAGGCACTTAGAACCTGTAAAGAGAAAATGAAGAAGAAAGGAACCCTTATAAATGTGGGTCTGCGAGGAAGGGCATGACTGAAGAGTTCAAGTCATGCCCACCTGGCTGTTGACACTGTAGTCAGAAGCTGAGTTGGGGTATCTGAGTAAATACAAAAGGGCAACTACAGCCCCGCTGTTTCCCCCAGATGCCCTAGCAGAGGGTAGGAGGTGTGCCTTCTGGGGACAGGTAGTGTGAATCCAGTGTTCCAGGCGAGGAGATGGAAAAAACTCTGTCATTCCTTACTTCATCTGATCCCCTTTGACCGATAATAGAGATCCTTCTGACAGGGATCCAGAGATGGGCAGCATGCAGAAGACACTGCCAGTGGAAGAGAGAGAGTGCACACATCTTGGACATGCTGCTTCCCTGTGGCAAAGTAGCCAGCCTGGCAGGGTCAGGGGAGCAGAAGGATCCTGGAGCACCACTGTCACAGCTTTCATCAAAAGGGGAATGCATCAAGTCTAGAGAAGTGCTCTCCCCTGTTGGTAGGAGTAGAAACAACACCAGCTCCCAGTTACTGAGGTCTTCTATGTACAGGTCCACCTATCCTGCAAAGGAGGGTGCAGGGGGTGGGGGGATGAGGTTGGGGTGGGGTTGATAACTAGGTGCTTTGGAATGGTAATAGGAGGAGATTCTTCTCTTCTAAATTGTCTTTATGTGCCATTTTTTCAAACTACAAAAGTAAAATAAACGTGTTTAAACATGTGAACAAATACAATATAGAGATGCATAAAAGCCAAGCTAATCATTCCATCCTCACCCAACTCCTGGTTCCCTGAGGTCATTATTCCAGGAACAGCCTATTATTTCTCCTTCCATGTGGCACCCCTGACAAAGACATACTTGCATATGTGAAGTTTGTGTTGATTTGTTTTTACCCGAAACAGAATCACACTCGAACTTTCCTATGAAGCTTTTCTTCTAACTGGTCCATAGGCATCTCTGCACAGCAGGAGTCAGAGAACTGATTGTGTAATGGTTTCTAGGGAACATCAGGGACATGAGTTTTGGGGGCCCCACTGCACTCACCATCAGGTCCCCAAAACTCAGGTGTCATTAAATGACCCTTTCCCACCTTAGCAATGCTGTCATTGGTATAAAGAAAAATTGAAGTCATATTTTTTTGTTTTTTCCAAATCCTAGGAAGTTAGTTTCACTTTCCACAAAATTTTTCCTTCTATGGGAAATCTGCCATTTCTTTTATGAAGAATACTTAAGCCCAAAATGACCTTCCCTGCTTTAAACTTTCAAAATCTTTTTTTAAGAAAAAATGATAAACTCATTAATTCACTCTCTATTGTAAATGATTGGTAAGGTCACCCCTATCCTGATGGCAGCTGCATTTTCCTAAAGACTAAATCCCTGTTTGAATAACTCCTAGCAATTAAGTTCCAGTTGTACAGTTCCATGGATTCACAAGCCTGGAAGTGAGTGGTGATGAGACAGAGTGCAGAGTTCTGTCTCCAGCCCCCAGAACCACTGGAACACAGGTGACAACATGCAAACAAATCAGAAAATTGGCTGGCTTTTGTTTGGTCAATTATGTAATGCCTTGCACAGTTTTAAGTTGACACAATTTAAAAAGTTTAAGTTATAGTTGCAAAGAGTATGTTTTTTGTCTCTGAAAAATATTCACATTTTAAAATGAAAACATCACGCTACACACACACACACACACACACACACACATTAAATTTAAATACCATAGTAATCTGATACTCAATATTATCTATTTTCTTTTTATTTAATATCCTCATCCAAGGATATGTTTATCTATTTCGAGAGAGAGAGAAAAGGAGAGAGAGAAACATTGATGTGAGAGAGAAGCATTGATCTGTCGCCTTCCATTTGCACCCTGATCAGGGATGGAACTTGCAACCTTTTGGTGCAAAGGACAACGTTCCAACCAGCTAAGCCAGCCAGCCAGGGCTTGATTATCTCTTTCCAAGATTCATGAACAAGTTCTTCTTTTACAGTTACATAATATACATCCTTCCTTTTTTAAATGTAAATTTGTGTTTCCACTGTATGTCCTCCGTAAGAGTTTATCTTGATATATTTTATGTTTGAAAATCTTTTATTGATCAGCTATCAAATTTATATATAAATTTAAATCTCTTTTATGTTCTGTGACCGTAAAGCTCTGAGTAATAATATTTTCTTTTAGAATGAGTTATCAATGCAAGGATAATATTGATAAAACAACATAAATATATTGTCCATGTTGTTAAGTAATAATTAAAGGTAACAAGTAAGCTTTTACAGGAAATAAAGCTCTTAGTAGGATATATGAGGCTTTTAAAATTATACTGTAGATATAATGAGATAGAGCTAAGGATCAATTCTATTTCTATTCCTATTTTTGCTTTAAGAAAAACCTGGTTCACATTAGCAAGGATATGAAAATGAAAATCTTGTATAGAAATGTCACTCAATTCTTTGAATCTTTTCCAAAATATATGCCAAGATTCACATAGTAATATAGCTTCAAAAATTATTTTAATGATCGCACAGCTGACAATTCAATTAGTTCCTCCTTCAATTTCTTTTAAAGCAATGAATTGGAAAATACCTGACTTGCAAAGGGCTTTGTAAGTCAGTATTAAATTCATTCCATTTCTCAATATCTAGACAGTATACTGCTAATATTTTACTAGGCTTTATCAAATGACTGTTAAAATAAGAGAGTGAAGAAAAATTCTCTCCTGGACAATTACTAAAGTGGAAGCAGTCAGAAAGGAGAATTAGAATTACAATTCAGTTTCAGGCACTTTCTCAGACCATTTTGGAAAATATGAGATCTTGAAATACACCTTAGACCTGCCCTGCCCTTATATAAGACCTATAGCTGCAGATTGGGGTGTATGCAACTGGTTCAAATTACCAGGGTGCCTAATAAGGGCTGACCTTGAGACAGGTCAGTCCAAGTCTAACTTCCAGAGCCAGAACAGACTCTCCTGTCCAACCATACAGCCTGTGGAGAGCCTATGTTCCCCTAGGGTAGGGCTAGACTTCCCCCGGTTAGATGACCAGGGCCCGATTTTGCTGCTCTCAAACCTAGGCCTCATTAGTGGACATGAAGGGCAAGTAGAGAGGAATGACTGGATAAAGGCCATATCTCAAGTGGGGGCAGAGCTGAATCATCAAGTCCACACAGTCCTGGAGCCTCATAGATGATAAAGAAACTTGGTACAATGAGAATGCTAGTTGAGGACCGTTATTTTCTTCATCATGTTTCTGTGCTTCAGAAGAAAGAGTAGTGTTAATGCTTCTTGCTTTCTTCTATCATAATAAGTTTTTTTTTTAACTGTCCTCTGAATAGCAGTAAGAAGAGGTAGGGAAGGATTTAAAAAATATGTTTAAGTTTCTGCCAAATCAGGCTCCTTTCCTGATGTTTATGGCAATGTCCTGGATTCTTATTAACAACAAGCACATGGAAGAGAATTGTTCATGTTAAATAAAGGGATCTAAGAGGAAAGTTGAGAAATATTCATGTCAACTTCCTGATTTTTAAAAAGATTTTATTTCTTTATTTTTAGAGAGAAGGGAAGGGAGAGAGAAATGGAGAGAGAAACAGAGAGAGAACCATCAGTGTAAGAGAGAAACATTGATCAGTTTCCTCTCATACATGCCCTGACTGGGGACCAGTCCCACAACCCAGGCATGTGCCCTGACCAGGAATTGAACTGGCGACCTTTCTCTTTGAGAGACAATGCCCAACCCACTGAGCCATGCTGGTCAGGAAAACTTTCTAATTTCTTGAGAACTCTTAAAAGTATTAAATATTTTCACATTCAAAGCTAAACCTTCCTATTGGCCCTTGATAACAGAAGTCATTATAACTCTATGACAAGAAATGTCAAAAATTATATAGTGCTTATTCTGGGACTGGCACAACTTTACAAACTTTTCTTATATTAAATCACTTGATCTATGCACATTTTACAGGTGAGAAAACTGAAACACAGAGAGGTTCAGGACTCCTAAGGTCCACAGCTAATACTATCAGAGCAGGGAGTTGAAACTTGGACAGGTTGGCACTAGAGTTTCTGTACTTGAGGGCTGTGATAGTCTCTTCA